TTGAACAAACTGTCCACCAAAATATACTGCATTCTAAAATGAGAAAGTGATTAGCAGTGAAATGCATAGGGCAACCAGAGGACTTGTGCAGATGCCCTGACAGGTTTAGGACAGTACATTAAACATAAATTTACATCACAACTCTGATACCAGCTATTTGACAAGGAGCCATATGCTAGACTGCATCTGGTGTATAGACAAGATAAAACTAGATTTAATGATCTCCTGAGCAAAATTTGCCCATACCTTCATAGGGGCAGAAGAAAATAAGTGAGGCAGACCTCTGCAGAAACTGTCTCCTGTGAAGAAAAGCAGTGGAAAATTAGTCATGTGCTATGCAAGCTAGGTATGGGAACTAGCTTTTACTTACTCTGGTCCAGAAGCTTTTACTTGCCTGCTCAGGGATCTTGGAATATCAGGGTATTACTTGATGTCAGAGGGGAGGTACTCTAGCAGCTGTCCAGAAGAATGAAGAGCTCTATGTGGTTGTTGCAGCTGCCCTCTTCCCCTTTCCTCCTTGAAACACCCACTGGAGACAATGCTTCTGCTTGTGACAAAGATAGCAGCTGGTTTCTGTAAGGGGACCCTGCATCCTTCTGGTGCATCCTGGGACAGAGTTACAATGACTAAATACAAAAGATACTCCTAGAACATCAGCAAATGAAGAGAAAGAAAGGCCAAGAAGAAAGGTTAAAATACCTTACTGATTTTATTGAGTTAGATTATCAGGACAGGTGTCTGAAGTTTCTCTCTCATGATACCCTGGAAGCAAGTAAAAGACAACTGATGCATGTCAAGTTAGCTGCTGCTGAAGGCAATGCTGATGAAGACAAGGAACACATATTAAAGCCTGCTTGAAAAGAAGTTGCTTTGAGTCAGATATCTGAAATGTCCTTCATTTGGTCCACTGGAACTAAATTATGAAAGAAACCGCAAATGAATTGAAACAAATGTCTTTGCTAATTGTTCTGAAGACTAGTGACAACCAGTTGTTCTCAACAGAAGGCAGAATTAGTTAACTTAGTTCATTTCTTCTTGCTGTCAGAGGAAGCCAGGTGGTAGGACTAGGAAAAGAACTATAATTAAACTCCACCCATCTTCAAATGCAGGTGAAGAGATCATAATTCATGAAATGTATCCATACAATTAGACAATATTCATACAATTATAAGCTGAACACTGAATGATTAGTGATTCATGAGTAATGAGCTAGTATTCACTTGCAAACCTCAATGAGCATTTCCACTTTGTATTTGCTGTGTGACCATGATCTTTTTCAAACCTCTATCTGTAAATAGAAAGGAATTTAGACACCTCATAAGAAAGTGCATAAAACTTATGATTTTTTTTTTAACCTGACAAATGCCTTTGAAAAATTAAGCAATACCTTACTTTCATACTCATATGGTAATTTTCTGGATTTTTTTGTTGTTGTTGCAAAGTAATATGTTTGCTGCCTGTATTGGGATCCTGAAAAGATTGCATTTCTTTGAGATGTTTGGGGAGACTTTGCCAATAAAATATGAATGTCCCTATCCAGTCAGATAAGTCCACTTATTTCAGGAGCCTGTCTTCAACGGTGGTCAAGAGGCGGTGCCAAGGGAGAAGAACAGCCATCCTCAGGCAACGCTGTCTGCCTTCACATTAAGAGTATGTAATCAATAGTGTGATTTTTTTTTTTTTTTAAACTTACACAGAGAACTCTTGCAACAAATCAACACTGAACATGCTCTGAAAAGGAATCTTTAAGAAGAAATAGGATGTGTAAAGCCCTAACAATCCTGGTATGCCCTCATAGCTGACCCTATTTCAGCCAGCGGAGACTAAGATCCCTGAAAAGAGTGCCAGTGCATGCTCCCAGAAGGGATATCCCAGGGATCTCCAGATCGAAAGTAAACAGATTGTTTCCACTTCAGCTGAAAGATGCTGTCCACATGTTTTAGCAACAGTGAAGCTTCATAAATTTGTAGAAGTCGTCCAGTTATTAGAGAGGGGAGCAGGAACACAGAGTTAATGTGAAAACACTGGAAGCTTGATGTATGGGGTACTGCATTAAAGCAGTGACTTGGGGCTTTGTTTTCTTTACTATCTGCTTTACTGAACTGCTTCTCATAAATTTCTCCATAGAATCGTCTTCAGAGCTGCCTGTACTTTCTTCCCTCCCATTTCCTGTAAGAGGAACGTGCGAACAACCTAACAGGCCTTCTCACCTTTGTTTTAAACCTTTTCCTTCGTTACCTCCGGCACTGGTTTGTTGTTGAACTTTGATGCGTTTACCTAATTCTGGTGGTAAACTCCTTAGGCAGGAATGGTGTTTCCATAAATTTCACTGTATTTATTGAGCTACGTGTATGATTATCTGCAGAACAGATTATCGTTATGATTGCGACAGGCAGATCTGCAGGATTAACCAGTTAGAAGGGGAAAAGCTAGCTGCTTTTTTTATTGTTCTTGACTAATATCAACTGCTTTCTGAGCTTGCGAGTGAGACCGCAGGGAATTTTGAACTTGTGAAACATATCCATGTCTGAGTTATGAATGGGCAAAGGGATGGTTTCTAAAATGGGAGACCTGCTAGACTTTAACTGACTAGTAAGTCAGAATACCTTCTCTCGTAAACAGTTTGCATTTGGTTGACAAAAGTTTTTATTTTCAGCTCACTTAAGGGAGTTCTTTGCTAATGGAGGTGTTCTTATGTTATAGAAGTTTACTGAGGGTTTGGGGTTTTGTGGTTTTTGTTTAGTTTTGTATGGGGTTTTTGTTTTGGTTTGGTTTGGTTTGTTTGGTTGGGATTTTTCCCCACTCCCGTCATTTCTGGTAATCTTCTGTTCTGGTTGGAGTGGGATTTCCAAAAATGGCTAAGAGACTTCAACAGCACAAGCTCTCATGCTCCAGAGTTTAGAGGATTTAAAAAAGTCTTGTTCTAGGCATCTTGGTTCTCTGCTTGTGAAATGGGTATAGTAATACACTATCCCATTAGGGTGGTGAGAGAATGAATGAATTTGGCATTGTGTGATCACTGACACTGTTGAGATGAGGTCTGAAGTTTTATATTACTGTGTAATCTGCATGTAGAGGTCACTATCATGGATGTATTATCTTTATTTTTATATGACACACGTAGTAGGTTGATGGGTCAAAAATGACCATTGTGATGAATTATGATAGGATGCTCTTTACTGGCTTAGCAGAAAGGGATAGTTTAGCTATAAGGCTATCACCAAGGTCAGGCAAAAGTTTGCACATGGGCTTCCTTAAACAAGAGATGACACGATTACAAGTGTTCTTTAAACCTAAGAGCAGCATTGTGCATTATGGAAAACACAGATTAGGAAACTAAGCATGTTTGATTTTCGTGTTAATGCTGTAATGGCTAGTTGCTTTAAGATTGCTGTAACATGTTACCTGTGGTTATGAGTAATAATTATTTAAAATATTACAAAACTATTTACGAGTACTAAGCTTGTGTACACTAATTTTGAGAGGGATGCTTGCTACGTGAGGGTAGTGCTTGTGTAAATTTACACATAGATATAGAGCAACAGAGCTGAAGATTTCTTGGAGAAAAGTGTCATTTTTTGAATACTCTTCTATTACAAAGTGGGAGATGCCAGACAATAGGTGTCAGCACTGGTTCAGCTATGTACAACTTCACTGCAAACGTAGATTAAGGCAGCTGGTCTTAAGAACGTTTGCTGTGAACTATACTTTCAGCAAACTGAATGCCTGTAAAGAAGTGCTGAGATAATGTTTGACACTTGTTATAAAATAGACTGGGCAATAGAATACATAAGTCAGAAGATAAAAGCTGGTAAAAAAAAAAAAAGTATGTATTGTATTCACTCTGACATATTTCCGCAATACGGAAGGAAAGACTGTTTCTGAAAATGGTAATTTAATTAGGTTTTGTTGTTTTATGAATTGGTCAGAGAGGTTCCTGGGAGGGAGACTTTGATGCAGTGCTTTCCCACGGATTTTAAGAAAATCAAAAAAGCTCATTGAAACTAATAAGCCTGATACACTGAAAACGGAAAGCAAAGTCACAAATATCAGAATGGAGCAGACAGGATTAAGTGCAGTGCTAGGAAACTTCCATGAGACTTTGGAATCGTGCAGTTTTGTGGAGGAATTTTAAACTGGAACTAGGGATTTAAATATCTTGTTCATGAAACCAATGCATGTCATATCTAGGGGGTCTGTGGACAATTCTGCAACTACTTTGGAAGAAAAAATAGCAAGACTTAAGCAATGCAAAATGCATGATTGTGTAATGGTGTTATGGTCTTATTTCAGAAGAGGTGCTGGACCAGAGTTTCAGTTCTCTAGAATTCCTTTTATCTGGACAAATATATATCTGCTTAAATTTTGTCCTCGCAGGTGGAGGACACTAGCTTTAAAACTCTAAGGAAAAACAGTGAAATAGTCTTGCAGTGAGCCTACTAACTGATGTGCATGTATCGAGGAGTTTTTAAGTAAGCAGATGCTCTTATGAGAAAGACCTCTGTATGGAGAATGCCAGGTGAATGGCTGCACACAGAGGAAGGGAAACAGCGCTTTTTCTTGTCAGTATTTGTTGAAGGGTAGTTGGGAGAACCCCCTCCCCTGAATTTTGCATTGTATTGCAAAATGCAGTGAATTCCTGGCAGCCGTTGCAGTGGCACACTCGGAGTGTCCAAAGCCTGGCAGTGTAATCTAAAGGGAACGCAGCTGAATTGTGATCTATTGCTATATAAAAGGGGGCGGGTCACTCTGCTCGTTCCAGCTCCTTTTCTGTCATTACTGCTGCAGAAGAACCAACCAAACGCTGCTGGCACGCCTCTTCGTTGGCTCTTATATAATACGAGGTTTCACAGGCACCGATGTAGAAATAAAGTCAAACAATTCTTGAGGCAGACTCATACTACTTGTCGTATCGCTGGTGTTCACTTTGCGGGGTGTAGGGCTGCTCTCTGAAGGGTGATCTGTGGCCCTATTTGAGTGAATTTTGGAAAGTGTGCAGGATGGCTCCAAACGAGACAGGGGATGAACTTGTTTTCTTTGTGAATGGTAAAAAGGTAAGGAAGATTTCTGTCTGGCTTGCTTCTGGATTGTCACTTGATTACTTGTTTTTCTAGTCATCTTTTTCCTCCTCAGAAGTTTTCTAATACCAGCACAACTTCTAAATATTAAATTGTGAAGACTATTTATTGCTTTGCTAAGTGGCTTTTTCTCTTCTTTGACTTTACCTTGTGAATTATTCAAAGAATAACACAGCTATAGAGTGTGCCTTTTACATTTTAGATTTGTTGGGAATAATTTACTGCAATTCTGAGCTGCAACTACTTTTAAATAAAGGTGCACTGACTTAATACAGGCATTTCTACTAGAAATAATTTCAGTAATTACAACAGATCTGAAAAATGTAGCTCAAATGTAAGCATCCATATATAATCCATGTATTCAGTAAGTATATTCTGATATTTGATGTTTTAAAGGGATTTAAATGTCCATTCCATTTCTATTTAAGAAGCTAGAAAACACTTTAAAATCAAAGCCTGTTAACTGATACTGTTTCCTAGATCAACTGCTGACAATTACCAACGAAGTGACTGTCTCTCACAGGAGGGTAGGGTGGTCCTTGCACATGCTGGCCACCTTTGAAGAGTTTGTCCCAGAGCCCCCTTCCTCAGCTTGGACTTCTCCTGGCTAGTGTTGACAGCCTTGACTCTTCAAAAGCTTGTACCAAGTTCTGTTTCTGAGCTCAGCTCAATGCTAATCTTACTCTGCCTTCTTCCTCTTGCTTAGATGCTTGGGCAGGGAAACTTGTGCCAAAGCAGCTTCCCGCTGGGAAACTTGGGGAAAGGAGAGGGTTGCATATCCACTGTGTACTGTGGAGCCAAGAGTTTGTGGTCCTTTCCTGTGCACTGCTTAGGCGTAAATCACAGGCAGCACTAAGTTTGGGCTAGAGAATTAACTTTTTTATTCCCTTGACAGATTGCACAATGTTTTTATTTGGTTAAAAAGCTCGGTGGTTTGCCCTGCAGACTGGCACAGGGTTACTATCAATTTTGCTTTTGTTGATCTTTCATGCTAATTTAATCAAGTGTAAATGTGGATAAGATTGTTGCTACAAGTAGGGTGTTTTAGTTATGAATTTGAGTCCCAAATTGGATTGGAATTTGAACTTTCCAAGGTACTAGGACATTTGATGTCGAAGCTTTGTTTTATCTAAGTATCAATATTTAGGTGAAGAATGAAGTTTATCTAGTATGGATTGTGAATTAGTCAAAGAGCTCTTGAGTGTAATAGTGATGTGGAACCCAGCCCTGGTTCTGAGGTTTTATAAAGAAGGATGACAACTGAAGCGTTGCTCGCACAGATCTGTAATGGTTCATATGTCAACGTTGATTGACATATAAGCTGTTCATTGTTTCTAGATGGAGGTGAAAACTTGAAGCTGCAAGTTAATCATGACTAGCTAATTGAGTCTGGTAATTGAGATTAAGAAACAGTGGCACAGGATGATGTGTGAATTTTATCTGATGAATTTTCTGCTATGATGGGCACAGGTGGTATACCATTAAATTGTCTTGCTCGTTCTGTGAAGATATTAGTGACTTCAGACCCCTCCCTGTGAACCCCAGTTTTCAGAGGGTGAACTGGGAGCTTTTTGAGTCTTGCGGTAAGAGGTTGCCACAAACATGTTGGGCAATCCAGGCCCTGATACAGGCCAAGTGTACTATCTTGTTTTCTTTTTCTGGTATGCTCTTACAGAAGAGAATTGTAGTTCTGGTGCCAGACCAGCTAAGGCTCAAAACCAACGTGCCACTCATAGTAGGTATGAAGAGTCTATAAAAAGATTCCTATATACACTTGCAGCTGGTGCTTCAGCATTGGTTGGTGCTCAGGTATTACAGGAGCATTGCTCTGTGTAAATCGGTAGAAAAGCTTTTCTTCCTGGAGGAGAGTCTTGGCAAATGTATGAACATGTGTATTAGTCAAAGCACAAGAGAAGAGACTGAGCTGCACAGAACTGGTTCTGTGGGAGTCTGTTGTGCATGTGGAGTGAGGCAGAGAAGGGGAAAAGGAACAGCCTGGACCTTGAAGGCTAGCAGCAGAAGACCACCAGTTCCTTTTGTATCTGCTGTCTGTTCTTGCTGTGTCTTGTAGCTAATAAACATGCTGTGAATGGCATTGCCCTTGGTGCATTTCAGCAAATTTTATGGAACGGCAGGTCCTGTTTACAAAAGCCCTGTCTTGGAGCTAACCTTGTTCATGTGTAAAGAGATTTATCACAGGGTGATCTTGGCAGTTGTTGGTTAAAAAAAAACAAAACCAAAACCAAATATCAGGAAACGGTTATATTACCAACGGTACTGACTCATTCCACGTGTCAAGGCTGTCTCAGCATCCTTTCCTGCTGCCTCATGGAACCGGTAGTGCTAGCAAAGGTGCAGGTTCTACCTGATCAGAGAGGAGAGGGCTTCCTAGGTTGTACTCTACCTAGAGCCTCCAGTGATGTTTTTTTTTCTATTCTCTTTTTGAGCGTGCTGCCAAAGTGGCTTGAGTTACAGCCCCACCAAATGCAGGTTTAGGAGTGAGAAGTGGACTCATGGGGCAATCCAATCTCTGGCAACAAATGTGGAGTTCGCTGGGACATTTCTGCCCATGAGAGGTTGTGTGATGGGGTGATGGGAAGTGCCTGGACAAAGCAGCTGAAACAGCAGATAGCAAGTTTGGATACAGCTCCATCCATCTGGAGTCCTGACTAAAAATTCCAGTCAATTCCCTGCAAAGAATGTGATAGCATGGCCAGCGGGAAAGGTTACTGCTGTGTGAATTTGTGGCAGCTTGACATTGCTAATGGGCTGCTGAAACTCTGTCATATCACATAGTTTGTGCTAAGAGGTGGTTGAGAAGATAGGGACTTCCATGGCAGAAAATCCTTCTCTGTTGCATTAGCCCAGTCTGCAACGTTGTCAAGAAAAAGTCTCCTCAGAACAGCTGAGCATACTTCACATTCAGGATTGTTTATTTTAAGCACCTGTTTACTTCACTGGGCATAAAGCTTGGCACACAACTAACACAAAGTTATCTTGATAGTCTGCCTAGACTAGAATGGAAAGCAACACATGCAATTTAAAGCTAATAGTGGCAATCTTATTTTCCTCAGCCGACAAGTCTGTCTCATGCATATGTAACATGCAATTTTAGTTCAAACACGTGGAGTCAATATTTCTGTTTCTGTCCTGACTGTTAAGAGGCGGTATGTGCTGGAAGCCAGATTAGACCTCTTCCAAATCCTGTGTATGTTTGATTGCAGATGGGACCAGCCAGGATTTTTTTGAGCTTTGGGACCCTCTGGGTCCTACATAAACAGTGAAGTACAAGTTTTCAGTGTGCTGGTTTAAAGCAGAACAAAATGTTCTCATGACCAGTAGCAGATTTACATTGTGTGGTTATATTCGGTTTGTTCATCTGTGTTCCAATCCTTTTCCTTAGTAAATGAATTTGAAATCTCTCACTGACTTCAGGCATACACATTCACAGATTTTAAGGTCCTAGGGAATCTTTACCATTGACTAGTCTGACTTGCTGTGTGGCAGTCTGGTTAAAACCTTTCACCTTCTCTTCTTGCAACTGATTGAGTGACTAGGGACTAGTGATTGAATGGGAGCTGCTTGTTCAGAAGAGCTTCTGTTTCTCATTTAAAGACCCAAGCTGATGGAAAGCTTAGCATGTTGTTTGGTAAACTGGGAATGTGTGTTTTCTTTTTCTTTTTGTTCCTCTGTTTACCTTGCTCAACTACTGTTCTTTTGAATTGAAAAATCTTTTCTTTCACTTTCTGGGAATACTAATTTAAATATGATGATTTATGTTGTAAAGGCCAAGTTATGTGAGTTAGTGAAAGGCAGGTAAAGACCGCAAGCAAAATATTTATTGAGATCCAAGTCTTGTACATGAAATCATGGGGAAGTGAGCTCAACTTCTCTCTGGACCAGGCTGTGGGCTGTAAAAGTGTAGAGTACTGCTTAAGAGCTTGTTTTGTGTAGTTCTTAAAGCTTGAGGAACTCTAGGGCCAGGCTGGGCTCCTGGCTGCGGTGATCACAGTATTTAAGATTCCTAGAATCAGTGGACAAATAGATACATAGTACAAACATAGCAGTACAGAGCACATTAGTTGGGGGTCATTTGACTGTCAGTGCCATCCTAACACTTCCAACGAAGTTTCTTTCTGCATTTGATTAATATTTAAGCTACCACATGCAATAAAATCCGCAGTTTTGAATCAGTCAAAACATAGCCATTAATCTGATGTATTTGGCAATGTGACATTTGGTTTTAAAAACCCAAAACCTACACAAACAAAACCCCTCAAAAACCTAAAAACCAGTAACTCAACAAAAAGGAAATATTTCTTTAATTGCAGTATCTAAGTAGGTTGATCCTACTCCCACTGAAGGCAATAGGTCTAATTCATATAATTTAGTTTCCTTCTGTACGAGGACACTGGGGGGAGGTGAGCAAGAATTGTTTTGATGGGTAAGATACTGAGCTGTGAATCATATTGTTCTGGGCATCAGACAAGAGATGTTATCCCCACCCACAGGGTTTTAAAATATTTTAAGAACAAATCACAGCAGGTGGGTGTAACAAACCACTGGAGGAATGACATGTTGGAGGACAAAACCAGCATCAATAACAATGAACAAAAGGCAGGAACAGTGAAAAGTTCTTACTCTGTGACCAGCAAGAGAGAGACTCATAAACAAGCATTGCCCCACCAGGAGTCTGAGTGCCAAGAAATGACTCCTTGCTCTCTGATGGGTGAGATTTGGTTTAATCCAGAACGTCCTCCAAATTCTTATCCCTTATCTCCCTCTGATCTCAAGTCTCTGCCAGCATTGCAGATACACAGCTACAGTGGAATAGTTTGAAGTGACTGAAGTAGGAGTTGGGGCTATTGGTTTGAACAGGATACGAGTGTGGATTGTTCAGGAAATGTTCTGCTGCTTAGTGGGAACCATTTTCTGATAAAGTTGAGCAAAGGTTTGACTTTGGGACTTAGCGCATGCTCAAATACTTCATTAAAAGTGCGTGGAGCTGAGTGGCTAAATGCTTTGCTGAATGAAGGCTTAGGCCACAGGTTTTTTCTTAATGTCTTGAAAAGGAGCTACTGGGCCAGACTTTTAATTACTTGGTTTGAGTGTGTAATGGGGTGTTTCTTGGATTCTTTCAAGAAAGCTTCTTGAGACATTTTCTTTGATCTAAGCATGGAATAATCTCAATCTTCAACTATCTGGAAAACCACTCTGAAGCTCTTTCTGTGGCTGGCTATCTTGGAAGCTGCTTTGAAAGGGTTTTCAATGGCCAGTGGCACAACCCTGAGGAAGACAGGCTTGACAGTGAGGGTATGAGTTGCTGGGCAAGGCTTTTTGCCTGTGAAATGGCTGTGAAATGCCTTTTGTCCATGGGACACTTGGAGTCGCATTTTGGAATTACCTGCTCCTGTCTGTTTAGCATACTACTGCAGAGGGATGTATGTGCTCACTCCGAACCAATTGGTCACGAGGGAGCCACTGTATGCTCTTACTTGTTTCTGTGCATCCAGAAGGTGAGGGAACAGGCACACTCTGCTCTGAATAGCAGCATTATGAGTGCTGCATGATTTACAGTAAGACATCCCCAAGCTAGAAGAATGAACTCTGTTTCCTTGTAGTTTATCCCCAATGCAGGAAGGAGATGTGCAAAAAAACAACTAGTTGTGTGTTGTAGCAGCAACTTTATTGGATGGTTCTAAAAACGTGGACTCAAATAGGATGTATGAACCTTGTCTCTTTAGAATAACAGTCATGTGCCAAAGGCATAAAATTGAAGCAGTACATACGTTGTGGAGGTTTGTTATCAGTAAGAAAAAAGGCTTACACAAATGACCTCTGTTTCAATTTGCCCTTCAAACTGGGAGTGATTAATTTAAATAAACTGTAACTATTGTACTTAGGTCTTGAGAAATATAAAAGCCAAGAACACATGATTACATTCTGGCACATAGTGAATTTGAAAGAGTTTCTCGACACTCTATTAATAACAGAAAAAGGGGAAGACAAGCTCTGTGGCCATTTGGAGGCAAGAGCAGAACTTTGGTTTCTGACCATCAGGCATAAGTTGAAGTAAAATCTGATTTTATGTCTAATAGATAACTGTTCATAATGTTGTTCACTAATAGGATGGAGCTGACTCAAAATGTGCTGAGAAAATTTCTCCTGGGTTGGAATTTTACATTCGCAATTTAGGATGGCTACTAATGTAACACTGATTTAATGTTAGCAGGGAAAAAAAGAAACTTCAAGATGATTGCAGGATAGACAGCAAGAGCCAGTATTGGTCGTGTTAGGGTTTCCACTGCTGTTTTTCTCTGCAAAGTCCATTGCTGATACTGTTTCTGTCATTCTGTTTATCTGCTCGTTTTTTCTGCCTCTTCTAGTAGTAAGCAGAAGGGACAGAGGTCAGTTATGCATGGTCAGTAAAGATGAGATGCAGTTTGGGGATATGTTTAGAATTCAAAGCTCGAGTACAAAACACAGTTCTTTGCTCACTACTAATTCTGTTTGCCATTTTTGTTGAAGGGTTTTAAAAGATGTGCCTGTGTGCCATGGCTGAAAAACTCTGTATGTAATGCGCGTACTTTCTCTCACAATAAATTCAATGAAACATTGTGTCTGGATACATGACCAACATTGCTGAACCTAGTAAGGGGAGTTAATCAGTGGTCCTGCTCCCTGCTTTGGAAAAGAAGTTGCAGAAAGACCAAACTTTCCCCTTCCAACTAACATATCTGTGTTGTAAAGTGTTCTGTGTGTAACAGTACCTTTCCCTTCTTGCAGGTGGTGGAAAAAGTTGTGGACCCGGAAACAACTCTGCTAACCTATCTACGAAGAAAATGTATCCAGTGTCAGAAGAAACTGCAGAAGGCTTTACATGCCTACAGTGTTTCATAATTGTTTACCGTTCTGCCTGTCACTTGAGTGTTAAGCAGAGCTTGTGCACAGAGTGTAAGGAGGAGTGCTCTGCATGGTCTGGTATTTCTTGCTGGCAAAGATTGCAGCTTAAACAATAGCAATTTTTAAATAATATACTTTAAATAAAATTTACATAACTTATTAATACTTTAAAGGGAAAACTCTCAGAATTGCTAGGAATTAGATTCTGATGGAATGAAAGCAATATTGAGACAATAAAATTGAAGGAAATTTAGGTTTGTTCCACACATTGTAACGAATTTTCTGGTCAAAACATTAGTCACTTGAGCTGCTTGCTGTATCATCCAGTAATTTGGATATTATTGGATAGTTAATATCCACTAACTTGATTATCCTGTGGCCTGTTTATCAGATGACCCAGGTATGCAGACTCAGAGGCAGGGGTTCCTACTGCATACCGTGGACATGTTTACATGAGCAGATGCAAACAGTCACGTTTCACTCCTGTTTGAAACTGGTCAATGCATGAGTCAGATTAGCTTCAGGTGCTGGGTAGCTATTACTGTGATGACCAGGCTGGCTATACTAGATCTGGTTCAGTAGGTAGCATCATTCCTTGTTTTCTGAGTTTTTGTCTGACCAGCTGGGTGCATACATATGCCAAACTGTTCACATCTATGTTGGTGTATTCCTTAAAAAGAGTAATCCATACTTATTTCACAATGCTGGGATTATTTGTCTGGCATCTGAAAGAAGTATGGGGATATAAATCATACTCCTCTGAGGTTTCCAGCAGAATTATCAACAGCCCTATTTTGTCTGACTGTACCTTGGGCAGATAAAGTTCAAGAGGGGAAAAAAGAAGCATGACTCTTGTGCCTGTGTGCACTTCTTACCACTAGACCTTTTATGTCTAAGCTTGTTAATGTGTATAGCTTTGTAAAGAGATAATCTGAGCTCTTCAAAACCTTCTGATCTTCTGCATGAACACTCTGGTGAACTTATTTTGTAGATGTCTGGCTAGGGTCAGACAAATACTTCAAGAAGCATAGTTTTTTGAGGCAGATTAGCACTATTGCCAAGAAAAGCATTGGATGGCATAAAAAAGCTATATTTCTGCTGAAGCGGGCACATGATTGGATGAAAATAGTTGGTTCCAGAATCTTTGTGGTGAAGGCAAAGATGATTTGAGTTCCCTATATCATAGGCCTGTGGGGAAGAAGTCAACCACCACTGTTGAGAGGTGCTGAAGGAGATGTCACCATGCGTCTCAGGGACATGGCTGCATGCCTGCGCAGCTCCTGCTCAGCAATTACTGACTGCTTTGTCTCCCTTATGACATTTCCTTTTCTGAATCTAAGGGAAAGCAGGAACTGTTGAAGTTCAGGATTTTTTTGTTTATTCTAAGAGTCTATTGGAACACGGAGTGGCTCGTTGTTAAGGCTTTGGGTGTTGATCTTGAAGCTCACATGCCAGCATTTGAAACTTTGCTTATGTTAAGTTATTAAGCAGAAAAAAAATGAGTGCTTGATTTCCAGCAAGAACTTGTTCCTAAGCCTTGATTGACAACTGTTTAAGCAGGCTTCTGCCAACAGTCTTAGTGTTTTCCTTGATTCCTGTTCTCTCAGTGGGCCTATGTGGAACCAAACTAGGCTGTGGAGAAGGTGGATGTGGTGCTTGCACTGTTATGATTTCCAAGTATGATCCCTTTCGAAAGAAAATCCTGTATCCTTTGCAATCTGAACTCCTCAACAGAGATGAAATGGGGACAGATCCAGGTTCTTGACATTCCAGATGTGGTACTATTTAAAAAAAAAAAAAAAAAAGTTATATAATGTATGTTTCTGCCAAAACATAATTTTTCACTTTCAGAACATAAACTTAGAAGATTGAGACAAGAAGGTATTTTTTCCTACAGCATTGCACAGTGCTGATGGGGACCTATTTAATACCTGCACTGACTCTAGCACATAGACAATCTGTCTTTTCCCAATTCTGAAAGCCTTTATGTTCCTGTCTTGCAATGTAATATAAGTTTTTGCTGTGATGACCCAAATGATAATTACTGTGATAAAATTTTTATTGCTATCGTATTACCACAATAATCTGGTTTGTCTATGCCAGCAAATATTCACTTTTTTGCTACTTCTGTTGTAACCTTCACAATGACTCTTATTTCTTGAGACATAAACTTTCCTCCTGTTCTCTCTTTAATTGAAAAGTGAAGCAATGGAATCAAAAAGGGAATGGAGAGAGAAGATGAGGCAGAGGGACAGGCCCCAGTTTATTTTTTCTGTGGGGAAGGGAAAGCACTGAAATCTTGGATATATTTGGAATAATGCTTGGAGATACTTTAACTTGGGATCGTCTAACTTAGTAGTTCTGCTTAGTAATGTGGCCTTGAATAGGTTATCTTTAGGGTTGTTATTCTGTCTATAGAAAAGAAATAAAGTAGATAGTTCCTATAAGAATTTTGGCATCATTATTCTATTTTATCTTCAGCCCAGACTTTTTCCCCATGTGTACCATCTAGAAACAGTTTCCTAGGTAAAAGGCCAAGAGCTCTGTGCTCTTATGTCACTTTGTGAGTGGGCCAGGCCAGCAGTATAACACTTGGTATTTGTAGCCTGCTCCTTTAGTTTACTTACATGGGTTCTGTAGCTTAACATGCAACATGAAGTTGTTATTTCTAGGTCAAATCCTATGGTGCATACTTAATTTAAACTTCACTTGAAGTTGATGAGAACTTTGGCTGAGTAGGTGCTGTGGGATTTGGCTTGTAACTAATACCTCTATCACATCTGTTTAAGGTCTCCTGTGGTGTCCACTGCTACAGTTTCTGAGTACTCCTCAGTCCTCCTGTTCCCTTTTTCCTTTTTGAGCAGCACTGTCAAATGAAAGGACCTTAATTTATTATTTTAGGCACCATACTGCCAATGCTTGCCTCTTCCCTGTCTGTGCCTTGCATCATGTAGCTGTAACTACTGTTGAAGGCATAGGAAACACAAAATCCAGGCTGCACCCAGCCCAGGTAAGCTATCAATACCGGTAACTTTAAAACCCTCTATCCATGTTTTCTTCTTATGTTAATTAATCCTGTTCCCAGCTGTTGGGACCTCCATCCTAAAGTTAAAGCCAGGACTTTGACTTTCCACATGAGTAGTCTTTACTTGCAGGAATGACTGAGTGACGGAATCAAACTCCTGGGTCAGTGCTGCAGCTCTGTTATGCCCTAACAAGTTAACTGGTGCTATCCTGGCTGAATTGCTAATGCTTTTGTTCCAGGGCTATGTGGCTGTATTTGGTCCACATCCTGGACCATTTGCCAGGAACTAGGAAGACTGATGTTGTGGTGAAAGCCTGTATAATGACTTGGAACCAGGAAATCTGAGTTAGGTTTTGGCTGTCCTATTGCCTTCCATGTAAGACCTTGGTTTCTCATCTGGCATAGTTAGGAACCTTTCCTGCAGTGGTGCAGTAAGGTTTGGTTCAGTAATGTTTCTGGAGTCCCAAAATATTGGTGGGGAAGAGTGACAGGAATGTGAGGCCTTGCTCTTCCAGCAAGGTGTTATAATGTGCTTTTAATGGAAGCAGACTTGCCTCAGCTTTGTCAGACACACTGCTCTTTTAAGGGAAACTATGATTCATCTCAGTTTGTATAGTGGGTAGGACTTGTGTCAATATCTATCTGAGACAGTAAACAACAAAGTGAAAAATAAGTTAGACGGACATGAATGGATGGCAGCTAGTCTAACTGTTGTTTTCTTGTTGTATTTTCCCTACCTCCCCTGAAGATTCTAACAGCTAAGCTTTGAAATTCAAACTCAGGTCTATAAAGGTAGCCCCAACCTTTCTAGCATGGTAAATCTGAAGAACTCCTGATCTCACTGGAGACTTCTAGTCACCTTCAGTTACATTGGGAGTTCAAAGCCTACATGCAAACTTTTCAGAGTGTTCTTTTCTTTGAAGTGTACTTCACAGATTAGTTGACCATCTCATCAGAGAACATCTGATGATAGTCTTAGCTCCTCTGGTGAGATGGTGGGGTTTTTAACAGAGATGTTACAGAAACAAGCACAACAACGAACTCACTTTGATATTATGAGCTGATGGTTGTTGTTACTTTTTCTCAGGAGAGAATAGCAAAAAGTCATGGGTCCCAATGTGGCTTTTGCACTCCAGGCATTGTCATGTCCATGTATACATTGCTTCGGAACAAACCTGAGCCCAAAATGGAGGACATAGAAGATGCTTTCCAAGGTAATACTCATAGCCCTGCATAGATGCAACCTGTTCTGCTTTCATTACATCTGCTTCACCAAATGGGATGGAGGCGCAACTTTATTGTATTTCGTTAGAGATAGCTAATTGTTACAAGGTTAAGAACTAGCTTTTCCACCAGGAGACTGGCCAGGTGCTACGAAATGAACAAAAATGGCCTGTGGAAAATCTCACAGAAGCTCATTGTTTGTCTTGAAACAGGGGCAAATGACCTCAGTCTTGGATTGGGACCCCACTAAGCTTAACACAGAACAAAATGTGGCCTGTCCCTGGGGGGTTTATAAGAGCGTCCACATCTTCTTGTTTATTCACTGCTGTCACAAGAGTCTGCGGAGGTGACTGAGAGCGTCTGGGCCAGCCAATCTCAAGTAAAGGACCAAGACAGCAATATACGTGATGGAGTGGGGTAGAATCCAATTGTGTAAATCATCTGAGAGGCTGCTGTTATTGCTGAGGTTAGAGCTGTTACTGTGCTGCTGGCAGTGACCTGAGAGGAAACCAGATGCAGGAGAAAGCAACCTCTTTGTAATTCAGGAGACTGAATAGTAGGTATACTGATTAGAGTCACCCAATTGAGGTAAATGAATACTGAATAAGGCAGATGGAATTTTTTTCTAAATTAATTTCAATTTAAAATTTCAACAAAAAGGGATGGTAGGATTGTTGCAAGATTACTAATGAAATCTTCTTCCAGTTTTTTCATTAGCTTTATCTAGATTTGACAAACATTTGTGAGAAACAATAAAATCTTTTAAAAGAAGAGAAGTTCTCAGCCAAATGACACTAAATCTTTATCCTTTTGCTCTGGCAATGCAGGGAACTTATGTCGGTGTACAGGATACAGACCCATTCTGGAAGGATACAGGACATTTGCTAAAGTAAGTGGCTTCAGATGTTTAAAAAAATCTGGAAGGCTAGCTGTCTCTCTGTTACTAAAATATACCATGAGCTGAAATGGGGAGGAAGGAAATATACACTCCACAACAACTCTACTCCAACTCTTGACCCCTTTGTATGTGCCTCATGCATTATAATGCCAGAAGACCAACCTCCTTACTCCAGTTGCTGGAAGTGGAGCACTTTAAGATCTGCCCCATGGTCCCTTTTTGGGTCACAGGTAATCAGACTCTGTAATTCTTTTCTGTAAGCCTCTGAAAAACTTGGCATCTCTACGTAATACAGCTTGCAGATGATCCCTGGTGTGGAAAAAGTGTAAAGGTATGATGCACAAATAGGGCCATACTGTGGAGGAATCTGATGAGAAAGTTGCTTTCTTGAAAGATCAGCTGCAGAGCTGAAACAGCTCTGGAAAAAAGTTGAAGTCACTGCTGTATAGTTCTGAGCCAGAACTCATCTGCTGGTTTGGGTGAGGTATGAAGCTTTGCCATAAGTTTTCTCTAATCCCTTTGTTCCTGAAAGACTGCTCGAGGCTGTGAAGAAAAGTAGATCATTAGGTACTTCAGTGATTACTAGCCACTTATGGGGCTACACTGGTATTAAATATCAAAAGTAAAGATTTAGAATGCTACCCATTAATTTCATTTTATTATCCAGAATTATGATCAACAAAAGAGAATACAAGCAGGAGAGAGATCCATTACAAGTGGTTGATAAATCCAGTCGATATAGTCTACTTGGATTTCCAACAGGCTTTCAACAGTGTCTCACCAAAGGCTTTTAAAGACAATAAACAGCCATGGGGTAAGAGGGAAGATCTCTGTATGGATGAAAGATTGTTTAAAAGGCAGGAAATAGCAGGTAGGAGAAAATGGTGTATTTTTGCAATGGAGGGAGGTCACTGGTGGACTTCTGCTGGGAGCTGTGGTGGGAGCAAGATATCCCTACATGAGATGGAAAAGAAAGCGAGCACTAATGTGAGAAAATAAGTTAACTGATATCAGGTTAGTCTGGGTAGTGAAGACAGGAACAGATTTTGAGGAATTTCAGAAGGACTTCGTGAACCTGAGAGACTGAAGAATAGAATGGGTACAAAATTCAGGCCAAATAAATGCACAGCAATTTACAGAGTGAAAGGCAGTCCTCATCTCACATATAAACTGATAGGCTGTGAGCAGACACAAGATCATCTTCCTGTTATCATGCAGGAAGATGATCTTGGAGGTGTGGTAGACAGTTCTATGGTATTATCAGCTCAATGCTCACTGGCAGTCAAAAGAACACTTAAAAGGGTAGAGAACAAAACAGGAAACACTGCCATGTCACTGTCTGCATCGTGGCTCTTCCTGCACTTGAGTACTCTGTGCAGTTCTGGTCCTCTCATCTCTAACAGGGTGTAGCAGAATAGGAAAAGATTCAGAGAAGTGGAATAAGGATCACATCTGTGGTAATCTGGCTTCCATACAAGGAAGCACTGAGAAGACAGGGATGCTTCAGCCTGGAAAAAAAAAAGATGTCAGGGAGGGGAAGGGGCTCTACATAGCCCATGTAGTGGTTTGTGTTGACCTCTGATAGAGATCTACAAAATTGTGACTGGTAGGTGGACTGTGGACAGGCATCTGCTGTTTGCTGCCTCTTCCAATACAAGAGCAAGGTGTCAAGAAATGAAATGAGTAGGATTCAGGTTGAAAACAAAGGCAGATGGTCTGATCTGCCACGTACTGGCTAGCTGACCTGCAGAACTCATCAAAGGGTGTGGTGGGCACCAAAACTTACACAGGCTCCAGGGGAGACTGAGCAGGTACTTGGATGGAGAGCTACTGAGGGCTCAAGAGTCAGAAACCACACTGGGCTAAGGTAGTCCCCTGAGCTGAATGTACTTGGATGCTGGGTAGAGTAGTAGGTATTCTATGTGCTTCTCCCTTTTCTCTGGGTATCTCCTCACAGCTCCAGCTGGACCAGAGATACTGGCTTGAATGGTCAGAGTACTTCTAAACCAGAACAAGAGCTCTATCAGGAGAATGGACATGACGTAGCCATCACACTGCAGATTACTGCCTTCCATTGGCAAGAGAAACACCTACTTGTTTGGTGCCTTCCATCTCCCATGTGGGAACACTTTCTCTCAAAAGGGAATCAAGTTGTCTTCATTTCCTTGGAATCTTCATATTTTCCTTAGAACAATTTTTTGTCCCCACAGGACTTGAATTGCTGTGGCAGAGTAGCCAATGGCACGGGATGCTGTCGTAATGAGAAGGAAAATAGCACAGTAAGCTGAATTTTAAAAGCCATAACCTCAATTTGCCATATAGTATTAGAGTCTTGGTGTATTAGTTACCTCTGGCTCTATTGTGGTGCAGATATTCAGAGACATCTGAGCTGGTTTGAATGTCTGTTTCTTGACTGACATTGTGACTGCATACATCGTGGTTAGCATGACTAGCCATCGTGACACAGATTTTACAACAGTGAGCTCCATACGTTCATTCTGGATCTGTGAGGTGCAACACTTTTGTGAAATAGCATGGTGACAAGTGTAAGCAATGTGTTACCAGCTTCTGGTATACTGAAGTGATCCATCTTTCTGTGAAAACAGATCTAAACCCCAGTTAATTCCCCAGTGTGATCTTTACCAAACTTTGCAGTCCAATGATGAATGAAGTAATTTAATCACCCTTCCAATAAATTACACAATTGGAACCTTTTGGGGCATCTGGAGGAAAATGTTAATCACATTATATGTACCAGTTGAGGTGCAAACAATGGAGAGATGAAAACAAGGAGTTAGGGCATAAGGTAGTGTGAGTATAAAATGAATTTAGGAAAGAGAGAATGTAATTATTTGCCAGGAAATTCTAGTGAATTCCTGTGGATTCTTTGTTAGGAAGCATCCAGTGTTGCGTGGCATACTCCAGCAATTAAGTCTGTTTGGAGTTCTTTCATCACAGTAGTTTATTAATGAAAAACATTACTGCAACTTTCTGCGATCCAGGAATTGATAAAAGGGGAGGAAGATATCCTGTAAAAATTGGAATGTTCTGACTTTGTGTAGAATGCTGAAGTGTGCTTGTTTTTTTCTCAGAATGGGGGCTGCTGTGGGGGAAAAGCCAATGGTCCAGGCTGCTGCATGAGTGGAAAAGACGACAATGTGGTAAAGTGCCTCTCAACTATTAGTTTTTTCTCTATTTCTGATGTTTTGAAGTCTTAGCTCTGGCTTGTTCTGTGACAAAGCCCAGTGCTTTTAATTTAGTTGTATTTATGCAAAGCAGTTTAGACTAATTTATATTTTATGCTGGTCTTACCTCAGAAAAGGTAGCTTTGATGTAATTTAACAAGCCAATGTGAAAGTGATGCCACTTTTGATTGTTCAGGGTTCAGGTTTCTGACCAGACGTGCATTGTGATCAGAAAAATATGACTGAAGAACCTGAAACACTGGATCAGGTGGCATCTTTTCACTGTTTGGCATTCTTTGCTCTGTGAAATAGTAATAGGGATTTGACTGGAAAGAGGAATGAGTTAGGGTTGTATGTGGATAGCTTTCTCCTCTGCTGCCCAGCCATTTGCATTTTCTCTGTCATAGACAATGAAATCCTCCAGCCTGTTCAATTCTTCTGAGTTCCAGCCATTGGACCCTACACAGGAGCCAATCTTCCCACCAGAGTTAATGGTAACTATTTCTTTTTGAATTAACTTAAGTGGTTTGTTAGTTTCATTGTTCTGCACAGGTTTTGAGTGTCCACAGTGTCTCTGCCCTGAGGAAATGGCAGGGCAAAAGATGGCTGCTAATAAAAGATGATGCATGGTATGAATGCTTCCCTGTTTTATAAAAGGGAAGGCTATTAAGCCAAGGTGGCTTAAAGCATGTGCAGGTCAAGTGCCTACCCCAGCTAGCTGGCTTTCCTCTCTGTTTCTCACCATACATGCCTGCTTTTGTGTTGCTTTCCTTTCTGGTCACTGCTGTCCAACATTTTGGAACAGTTGCTGACATCTAGATTTCAATTTACTAGGTCAGATGTGAACTTCTACATTATATACAGACATATTTGAGCTAATCGCCCTGTGGTCCCTTTATAGTGTAGGAAGAGAAGTAGGAGCTATGGGATATAGTCGACTATGTGTTTCAACTAGATGACTTCCTGAAAGCAACAACTTCTCTCCACTCAGCGTAGCAGGAGTAGAAGTTGGCTGGCTTACACTGACATCAAAAGTTAGGTGAGGTTAGTTTCTCTCCATGTTCATTCCTGTCTTTTTGGGGTAGTTTTCACCTAAGCAAACGTGTCTCAGCCAGGAATCTAGTCCAGCACATGGCATGTTTACAGCTTCCTTCACATTTAACAAACAACAGAAATCCAGTCATTAGTTCTGCTGCTGTACCCACCCTATACGTGTCATGAGCTACAGCATGAGTAGGTTTTCATAGACATAGCATTATATATATACACACACACACACATATATATAGGTTGAGATAGGTCCCCTCTGTTTCTTCTCTAAGATGTTCTCCTACCACAGAGTTGATCTGATGTGCTGGGAGGCAGTCATGTTAGTTTGTTTTCTTCAGTCATGGGGTGAAGGAATTAAAAAGGGAACCAGAATCTGACCTTACAGCTGGTAACTCAAATTCAGCAGTGCTAAAGACTGACACTTTTGCGGTGAGAATGCAAACCTCATTCTTCTAAGATGGCTGAAACCACAGGCATCTGCCAGAACTTTGGTCAGATGGAGCCTGCTGGCTGAGGTCTTGCTAGGGAGATGTGGCAGCAGGATGCACCTGGTAATTTTAGGAAGGGAAAACTTTTACCAGCATGAGAAAGACTCTTGTCATTGCTAGCAGAAGGATGGGGAATGGCTAACTGCCAACAACAGTGTGGATATCGCAGCTACCTGTCAGTAAGTTGACTGAGATGGAGCCTGGCCTGGCACAGGCATGGGCAGCATGTGAGCAGGGATTCTTGGCTTGACGTAGGATCTGAGCTCTATCTGAATTCACTTTTGCAGACTCAGAGTAACAAACAGCAGAAGCAGCTGTGTTTCAAAGGCGAGCGTGTCACTTGGATCCAGCCTACAACCCTCAAGGAATTGGTGGCTCTCAAATCCCAGTACCCCAATGCCAAGCTTGTTGTGGGGAACACGGAAGTGGGTAAGAAGAAGAGCGGGTACTCATTATGAGCAGTTGGAAAACTTTCCATGGAGTATTTTGTAAGAATAGTGCAAATGTAAACCTCCTTCATGCCATTGCTGTTAAATAGCTGTTTAATCTTCAGGTTGTATGGAGGAAGAAATTTCTTCTCAGGTAGATTAATCTCACAGTGAATGTTTTTCCCTGTTCTTTGCTGTATCAAGAAAAAAAGAGCTTATATAGACCTCTGAGCTTTTGTGCTAATTTTGTGGAATTTTGAGAAGAGGGGAGTGGCACAGTATAAAATGTCCTTGTAATCAAATTAATTCAGTTGTGAAACCTGTGTTTTGAAAGATTTTTCAGTTAGTAAACTCTCAAGACTTGAAATCTTAGTGCTTTTTCCCCCAAAATACATACTTCTGCAAACATAAGTGCTGAGAAGGAGAGTTCAGACATATTTAGTAATTCTGTTACCCTGAGCAATTGGTTCAGGAAACAATCCCCAAACTTTCTATGTTTCATTGTATTCATTGTTCTTTCCTGAAGGATTATGTACAATAATAGCCAAGTTACACAAGTACTAAACAGTGTATTTAAGGTTGTTGTAAGACTAGAAAAGAGTCTTTAAAACTTCCCTATGAGAATTCTGGTATTAGTGGAAACAACTTTTAGTTTGGTATCTCTGTTACCTTATCTAATCTGCGTAACAGATGGTCAATGAATTGACTCTTTAATAGGCTTGCTGCCATTTCATTGGGAAACAGTTAACTTGGGCTCTCTGTCACCTGGGTGTAACTGAAGGAGTCTTACTTTTCCTTAAGGTATTGAGATGAGATTAAAGAACATGTTGTATCCAGTGATAATAGCACCAGCATGGATCTCTGAAATGAATGCTGTTCAGCATACTGAAACAGGTGAGCCAAAAAGACCACAGAATGCCTGTAAAGTGAGCGGGGACTCCACGGAATAATAAAGAGGACATGAAGGAAAATCCTCAGATTAAAAACTGCTTTCTATATGTGTTAATGCCTCTCCCATGCAGGGAATGAAGTGAGTGATATGTAAAAATTATTTGAGAATCAAAGAAGGCTTTCACTAGAAGGTATATTAGACATTTTATCTCTTTGATGCATGGTGCTTTACATATATTAACTGGGTTAATAATGGGTTTCCATGGGCAATCTTTTCATTTAGAAAGATTTCAAAATTAGTAACTGGGGGAAAGATGCTGAATTTGACAGTCTGACAGTGTAAGTGACTAAGTGAAGCATTGCATTTGTCTTTGTGGTGGAAACAGGTCAACCTTACAAATAGTTAGAAGTAATTAGGACAATGTAGTGCATGTGGCCCAATGCCTGCTAGCATGTTTAAGGTGTTGAAACTGGAGAGGAGATGGAGTTCACTTCTCAAAGGACAAACTAATGCCTACAGGAGGGCAATATTGTTCATACTACACTGAGGCAAAAGGGCAGTGGGTTACTATCATGTGAGAGGTAGTACCACCACGAGCTGTGATTTAAAGGTGAATGATGTTCTGAGGATGTGTTGAATGAATGTCTAGTCTAAACCCTGCTGTCTAATTAAACTCAGTGGCAGCTAAGCTTTGTAGACACAGTTATAACCATCCTCCTATATCTTGACGTTTGGCAGAACAATTCTTTTCATTTGTTTGTTTACAGGGATCACCTTTGGCGCTGCCTGTACCCTGAGCTCAGTAGAGGAAGTGCTGAGAAAAGCGGTGGCAGAGCTTCCTCCCTACAAAACAGAGGTCTTCCAGGCTGTCCTTGAACAGCTGCGGTGGTTTGCAGGGCCACAGATTAGGAATGTTGCTGTAAGTCACTCAGGAACATCAGGGTCTGGAATTGAAAGCTCAGTCTGAGGAGCTGACCTGCCTTGTTGGTGTGCCTTGTGCTTCTCACATGAGAACATTTGTAAATCTAGGCAAAGAAGGTAGCACACATAAACCAACCCCAGGAACCGTTAGCAATGTGGGTCTCATCCGGTGTGCTACACCAATATCACAGATTTGGCAAGCAAGGGAAACATGGCAGTTGCCCAGGTCTTCCATTGTTGTTACAGGATAAGCGGGGGAAACTGTAGTGAGATTTGACTTATTTAACAAAAATAGATTTAGAGTGCTGGACAAACTTCAAAGCAGCAGTTGTGTAGATTTTTGCCAGCACAACTATGGTAGTCATAGTGTTAATGCATCAGATCTAGCAAATTTTCCTCTAGTTTTAAAGGGAACGAGGAGGTGAGTTTGGTGTGTTCAACCTCTGTATACTAAAAGAAAAAAATAATCAAGCAAGCAGATGAACCAACCTACCAAACACAAAATTTTGTTCCATAGGATACTGTGCCGTACACTTACATTGCAGCCAAAAATTTTGGGTTCCTGAATGTTACTGAAAAGATGCTCTATACTTTCATGGATCTTCCCTTAATTGCAGCTGCAGTGATTGAATTTTGGCATTGTTGGGCATATGTGGTTTGAGGATAAGGTAGTTTTGATGCATTACCCAAAGACTGTTCCTAAAGCCATTTCAGACAAATGTTAGTACTGACTACTGGAACAGCGACTGATTTCATGGGTTTTACGTTATCCCTCTTCATTAAAGGCCTAAAATTGCTGAGTGAGCAAAAAGAAATTATCAAAGCAAATTTAGGCAGAGCTAACCTCTAGTGCACTGTGTACAGAGTAATGCAGGATTACAAGATGCTATGGCTGTATCTTCAGGTTTTTTAATATTTAACTGATGCATATATTATCACTCTAGGCTCTTGGTGGGAACATAATGACAGCAAGCCCCATTTCTGACTTAAATCCTGTGTTAATGGCAAGTGAAAGCAAACTGACTCTGGTATCAAATGGTAAGTTACTTACATTCCCTTGCAGCACTGAGGAGAGTGGGGTAGACAACAGTCCTCTGCTGTGGATTGTTAGGTCAGAACTTGAAAATGGAAGTTAACATTATGTAAAAACGGCTTAGTCTGAGTCTTTGGGGGCTTTGCCCCTTTTGAGGCTGAAGTCCTAAGGCTAGGCCTAAGGTTGGCTTCCTAAAGAATTTTGAATTTCTGTGCCAGAATGAATCTCTGGTACTGTGTATGTATTTACAGACATGTCCTTGTGAACAGGTGGTCGAAGATGTCTATTCATTAAAAACAATAGGCATGAAATTGTTTCTGTCACTATAATCTTTGATCCTTGTGGATTTTTCAGATAAAAATTGAAACTCATTTTGGTTTTTTTCTATGAAGAAAGCCAAATGTCTCAATTAGTATTTGCTCTTAAGAAGAATTTTTTGAAGTAGGATCCTTGAAGTAAGTGGACTGTTTGATCAGTGACTGTCTCTTGTACTGGTTTGTGTGCAGGCTAAGGAAAGGAGAAAGTGGGAATTACATTGGGATGTTGGAAACTGGTTCACCTGGAGGCTCAGCTTTAATTAGACAAAGGAGGAGGGCGTTCTCTTTGATCAGTTCCTATGCAAATCAAACTTCATATGTAGGCAGAAGCTGTCATAAATTCCGTAAGGACTAAAATAAATCTGAGAAAATCCTCCTTGATTTGGTGAAAGAGAGTGAAAAATGAAAACTGATATCATATCAAGAGTGATTTGTGTAGGTTGAAGGCTCTTTCACACATGCTATTGCCATTCTTCATCTGAGTTATTCCTCTGCCATTGATCTGTTCTTGCTTTACAGAGGGCAAAAGGACTATCACAATGGATGAGAAGTTTTTCACTGGATACAGAAAAACAATAGTTAAGCCTGAAGAAATACTTCTCTTTGTTGAAATACCCTACAGCAAGAAGGTAAGCTTGTAGGAAAAGACTTCTATGTCTGTGGAGCTAAAATGCTGTTATTTGAGTGTTATTTTCAATGTTTGGCACTTTTTTCCTTGGAGACTGACCTCCAAATGCTTATGTAGTTCCGAGTGGACCAGGAAGCAAGTAAATTATTTGGTGAAAATCCAGCAAGATACTCTTTTTGACAAGCAAGGGGAGTTGGCCTCTATGATAAAGTACAATAAGCCCAAGAAGCTTTTTAGTGCAAGAAATATAAATTTCACTTTATTGTCTGGAGCTTTTTGAGTGCATTCAGTAATGATGAAAGATGGCAAAGTGATGTTCCCAGAGGTCTAAGTTCTGTTTGCAAAATAGTGCAGCAAAGATGCTAGCAATTCCTGAAGTGAAGTTAAGGTTCCTGAGGTTCCTGCTTCATTTCTGTGAAAGAGGAGGGGAAAAGAAATGGGAAAAAGTGTGTACAAATAAGAGGGAAGTTGAGTTTCTGCATCCTTACCTTGCAAGACTGAAACCACAAGCACTGATTATTAGAGCATTTTGGCAATGTGGACTTGCAACTTCAAATGAGCCTGCTAAACTTTCTTTGAACAGAACAACGAACACTTCTGTAAAACTCTCTTTTTCCCCTTTAGGGCTGACAACATCAGACTGTAGTTTTATGGCTGTGAAGGTATTCACCCTTTTAAGGGTTCAGGCTACAAGTTATAAGATGCAAGGATTCACAGTGTAGTGACATGTTTTCGTTATAAATGGAAAACACTGGTTTACTTGAGATGCCATCATGTTATGGGAAAGAACCAAAAAATCCTTTCCCTAACCTCTCTAATTTTTGTATCTAACTATTAAGGGAACGCAGCTATTTTATTTATGGTGTTTATCTATTTCTGAGTGGTTGTGCTTTGATCTTGTGATAATTACAGGAAGCATTGCTTTTTGCCAAACTGAGAAACGTGCTTGAGGTAGTCAATGGAAAACACCATATTCCTCCATCCATATGACAGTCATATGGCAATTTCACAAAACACACAAATGTTTACCGGCAGGGCAATGGCTTCATCCCTAGGTTATATGCAGCTCATTGATCTGAAAAACTAAAACAACTTTTGAACTCTCTTCTTCATGGTTTCTTGGCTGATCTTTGCTCGCAAACATGAAGTCAGGGAGACTAAAGATCTTCAGGGGATGTCTGAAGGTGCTGGCATGTGGCAGAAAAAGTCTTCTGGAACTGTGACTTTCCTCACAACTGAAAGCAGTGCTGTATCAGCACACAGCTAGATTGAATTTTTTAGTTTGCTTGCTTAAAACTGATGTTACCTCTTGCGTTGATGTGACTTGTCACATCAAGGGTAAGACTAGCCAAACAACAGAAAGAATTAGACTAAAGAAGTTTAGCAGTTCATGTGATTCAGTGTTACTGTAGGGGGACGGAGCTCAGGGTAGACTTTATCATAGAGAGGCTGTTAAGGGAGAGGAAGTAACACCTTTTTCTCCTGCTAGTTTGTGTGTCAGATATTTAAGATATTCAGGGAATAAAGATGTTTGAGTCTTTATTTGTAACGGGATTGCAGCTGAGCAAAGACAGTATTTAGAAAAGGAAGCAGCTCAATGGGTTAAAGATAAAATATAAACAGATTCTAGAAAACTGCTTAGCTTTTTGTATATAACAAGGCATTCCTAGGACAGGACATATCCTTTATTTAGCAACCCTCTTTCTCTTCTGGACTATAAAAACATTCCTTGTGTTCCAGATAATGTTCACAAATGTTATGCACCATTTGCTGATTATAGTATTCTGTATCACATAGACATTTACTGGTTTTAAAACAAAAAAAGCCTGACAACACTATGCCTATATATTTCTATCTTTGGAAAACAATCTTAACCTACTGTTTGCTCAGTATAACCATAATAGGCTCATAGTGTCACAAATTTTGCCCTGCTGAAGAGACAGAAAGCGGTTCATCCTTTAAATTAGTAGCCTCCAATCTTCATCCATTATTGATCTCTATATTCCATGGTGGTAGACTGAAAAAATTGACGCAGAAACAATGTTTTTGCAATTGTGAATATTGCCTATGAATCTTTTAGAGCATGTGGATTTCTTAATGTGCTCCTGCCTGGTGTTGTATCTTGTCCAGGAGAGAGGGGAGACTAATCTAGGTCCTAATATGTAGCGCTTGAGAATAAGGGTTCCTTGGTTTTCCTGTGAGAATAACTAACACCTAGAAACTTTCACTGTGGTAGTTTAGAGGGGACATGCTCTGTTTTTTTACCAAGAGGTAGGGCAGACATGAGCAGCTAATGTGATGGTTACCGTACCTACACTCCTAGTGAGGAAAAACAGTGAGTGCTTTTTCTCCCACAGGACTCTGTACCAAGAAAACTAAGGTATCTAGCGAGGAGTGAAGGCAAATATTGCCCTCTTGTTGCAGTCTTCTCTGAAGTGTGTAGTAAGAGAAGAGGCTACTTTTTCTTCTCTTTGAAAACTAATTGGTTTAACAAGCAGAGTGGCAGCATATTGGGAGAATGCAATTGATGTTCCTCTGCTGTTATCTGCTGGCTTCCCACTAATTACTTGAATTCAGGAAATGAAACACATCCTTCAGTTATATCTCCAGTAACAAGTTCTCGATGCACAAAAGGGGCCTCTTGTGAAACGGTTCTTATTGCCAACAACAGAGGAAGTGTTCTTTACAAGAATGAAAGAATTGCTGTCCGCTTCTGATTAAAAATAATTAACGGAACAGGCTGCTGTGCTGTCCAGAGTCACTTGGCTAAGCTATTAGAGAAGACACTTGGCAGAAAACTCTCCAGAAGGGCCGTGCAAAGAGATCGGATCCGATTCCTCTCTCAGTCTGCAAGATGCCTTAACAGCAATTTGTCATAATCTGCAGGACAGGCAAGGGGAAAAACTGACTGTACATGACCCCAGGGTGACACCATAACTCAGTGTATGCTGGTAGAGTGTTAATCTCATACTTACTGCCACTCTTCATAGGTGAGCTGCTGAGTTTTGTGAGTTGTAGTTGCTGGTGTATTTAAAAGAATTTCCTTGCTCTGTGGAGGCCAACGGAGGATTCAGAATAGTTACTGAGAATTTTATTTGCGGCAACAGATTGAAATTATCTTATATTAATTAGTCTGGTCTTTTCTAGAACTGTGAGACATTTGTGATTATTGATTTCAGTTCTTGCAGAGTTCAAAGACTTCTGAAGGGAAGGGATTTAAGATATGAGTTTTTACTGTTTAGGCTTCCAGTTTAGCAGCCTGAGAGAAAGAAAAAGTTGCTGAGGAACTGTAAACTCGTTTATGTACAAAAAAATCTGTCCTGGTTCTTCCTCTCAAGATACAGAAAGAATGTGACAGGTATGAGCAGATCTCAGTCAAAGCTCATTTTCCACACAGCCCTAGGTTGGCTAATAACCACTGATCTAATACGTTAGCATTAATTGTTGAATCATGTGAAAATATACAGCGCTGCCTGAACAAACATGTCCTGCTTGGCCCTGCAAGATGAATCAAACAGATACAGTTCGCTGGAATAGCTCATCCATGTAGAGATAGGTTAACAGCTTGTCCATATTTATACTCCAAAGCATGCCAAGGTAGAGAATAAAGAAATATTTTCCTGTCTTCTAGGGTGAATACTTCTCAGCTTTCAAGCAGGCTTCCCGTCGGGAGGATGACATTGCTATTGTTACCTGTGGGATGAGAGTCCTGTTCCAAGATGGCACTAAGCGAATAGAGAAGATAAAACTAAGCTATGGAGGAATGGCTCCTACAACCGTCCTGGCACTAAAAACTTGCCAGGAGCTCACTGGCAGGTAGGAATTTTTCTGTCTAATGGAACAGTGCTGATTTTTATAGGAGCAGTTCAAATACCCTAAATACTCTCTGTTACTACACAGAAAGAGAAAGGGGGAGAATTGTAGCTATGCTTCTGCAGCAGTCTGTGTTTTGTGTGATGCCTTGCTTCCTCTAGTACTCCTTACCTTCAAAGATCCACATCAGTCTCTGTGAGAGCCATTTCCTTGCTAATTCACTTATCAGTTGAAGTGGGCAGAAGCTACATATGGGCATGACCTACAAAACTGATTTTCTTCCAAACTGGACTGAGAAATCTGCACTCTAATAGCTTTGCCACATCTTTAGACGAGATGACATGAGCCCAAGATCAGAGCAAAGCTGACACATGTACTATAAACAGAGATAGAGCAGGTGGCTGTTGCTTAAGAGCTTGTGGGGCTGCCATGTCAGAAGAATTAGTTTGCCCCAGTGATATTTAGGGCTGAGAAGGGGCTCTGTGTCACCTTTTGTTCCCTTGCAGAGACTGGAATGAGAAGCTGCTGCAGGATGCCTGCCGCTTACTGGCGGGTGAGATGGATCTGTCTCCTTCTGCGCCTGGTGGGATGGTGGATTTCCGACGCACACTCACACTCAGCTTCTTCTTCAAGTTCTACTTGACGGTCCTTCAGAAACTGAGCAAGAACCACAATGGCACTGTGAGTGCTGCTAGGAAAGGCAGATTTGGAGAAGGGAGGACCTGTATGTGCTGTCTTGGTGGGGAAGGCATGAGGAGGGTTTGATTCAAGCAGAGTCGTACCTGATAACAAACTCCATGTTGCAAGAGCTGCTAGAGCTACTTTACTCCTTACCTGCATGATAGTGACAAGTGTATCTTCCCATTTGCTTCCTCGTGGCATCCCCACCTTGCTGTGGACAAGAGGAAATGGCCTCAAGTTGTGCCAGAGGAGGTTTAGATTAGATTTTAGGAAAAAATTCTTCACTGAAAGGGTTATCAAGCACTGGAACAGGCTGCCCAGGGAAGTGGTTGAGTCACCATCCCTGGAGGTATTTGACGCGTGGATGTGGTGCTTAGGAACATGGTTTAGTGGCGGACTTGGCAGTGCTAGGTTAACAGTTGGACTTGATCTTAATCTTTTCCAACCAAAACAATTCTATGATGCTGATCTGTGGGGTCACAGGATTCCTGGACTTCCCCACCTCCTTGCATTACAACTGCTCTCATGGGTCTGTGGCTATTCTTTGCGCAGAGCTTGAGCCATGTTTGCCTTTCACCCAGTAAAAGATGAATTCACTGGAGGATGGAGAATGGAGAATATCCTAGGCTACTGGGGAACGTGAGAAAAGGACTGGCAGGGAAGGTGACTGTTCTTTAATATGTCTCTGGCAGAACAATCTGTGTGAGCCCGTCCCCTCGAACTACATCAGTGCTACAGAGCTGTTTCACAAAGATCCCATTGCAAATGCCCAGCTCTTCCAAGTAAGTAGCAGTACCTGCATGGCTTAGACCTAGGCTCTTCTGTAGCTCAAATTGTGCTTCTTATCTTCTTGTCTCCGTAAGCATGGGCAGTACATGAACTTATGTAATGCCGTTCCTAAGGCTTGTATTTGGGTCTCAAACCCTTCCTTGCTTTAGGACACAATGTTCTCTCCTGCCATTGCCCAAGACTCTTCCTGATGTGTGCATCTTCATAAAAATCGCTGTGGGTAGCACTTTCCTCCTGCAGCCAGGTCTATATCCAAACTGAAATTGCCCTTCTGCTTTCCCCAGTTACAGCCTGCCTTTCTTTGCATCTCTCGGGCTTCAGATTCAGGATATGTCTTCTTCCTTATTTCTGTATTAATGACCTCTTCAGCTTTGAGAGTAGAAGCTAGCTTCAGAACTTGAACTTTTATGCAACCTGTCATGTCAAACCCTTTTCTTCCACAGCAGTTTCAAAAACCAAATCCCTTTCACTTCATTCTCTCCAGCCCCATCTGTGTAGCCACTCCATCTTGTTTACCTTCCTCTCCCACAGGACTGAGCCCCCATCCCATTCCCCATTTTACTAGAATGTCTCACGGTGCCTTTCGCTATCCCGTCAATGTTGCTGTCCTCTGCAATCTAAGCGGTAGTAGTCAGTCATGTGTTTTACTCCAGGAAGTGCCCAGGGGGCAGGCAGTTGAAGATATGGTGGGCCGGCCTTTGATGCACATTTCAGCAGCCAAACAAGCATGTGGAGAAGCTGTTTACTGCGATGACATCCCTCACTATGAGAATGAGCTGTATCTAACACTGGTGACCAGCACCAAAGCCCATGCTAAGATCCTGTAAGTGTTGCTTCTGAGTTTCAGATGTTGGAAGCACCCGCTGCCTGGTGGCTTAGAAAACATTAACCTGTCAAGTTGATGGAGGGAAAGGGTGAGGGAAAGGGTTTTGCATTAGTGGGAACTCCATTGCACATTGTTACGTGGAGGTGAGCTGTATGTGTTACAGCTGCCTTTGTAAGTCTGCGTCAGTGGGAATATGAGGGAATTAACACCAAACTCAGAGATTTGCTGAAGCACAAAGCCCTCAGCCCTAGGCAACCTTCTTGCATGTCCCATCTCTTATACTCAAGCACACAGGATTAAAAAGGAGCAGGGTAGGAGAGCACCGCAATGTCTGAGGAGATGTCATTTTAATCACTAATCAGAGCATGCAGCTTGAACGTGCTTTTTCTTATCTGCCTACAAATTTAGGTTGTAACATGCAGTTCTGCCACAGCACTCCTGCTGGTGAGTCAGCTGTGTGTGTATGGGCTTCTGGGTTTTGCCTTGCACGGTGCTTGCTTGCACTGGCTGTGATCAAGCCCTCTGCTTAAGTATGATGTGAGTTAGCTTCAGCTATTAGATGTAGACCTGTTCTGCGCTTGGCTGTAGCAAGGTGGATAGGTCAATATTTGGAAGTCCAGCTGTCTCTGAAAACATCTTGTCCATGTAGAGCATGACTGATGCATAATTTATAACAATAGTGACTAACCAACTCTAAAACGCCTGTCCTGGCAGGTAACGCCATCTACATTCTCATATGAGTTTTAATGCTGTTATACTGCAGGGCTGACTGCCCCCCCACAATCCCTAATTGTGCTTACATTGTGGTGGCTCTGCAGGCTGTCATCTGCCCTCAACTGCTTTGGTGTGGGACACTGTGTTACATTGCCGTGTGTCATCCTCAATAGCTTCGCAATGTGCTGTTTGTTCCTTAGGCAATGCTTCCTGCCTATTTAGGCTTCCTGTCCAGAGGTTTCTTCTCACAGTGGTCTAACGCGGGACAGGCAGCACGATGGTCATGGATGCACAGATGTAGTTAGTCAACTCCCAGGTTATGAAAGAAATTGCTCTGTCATCATAGTTAAATCTCAAGTGTTGCAGCATGGTCATTGATGAGTGCTGCAGATGCATCAGCATTGTTACTACTACCAGTGCAGATGGGGCAAGAGAGAAAGCATCAGATCTATGCCTGTGACCACAATACACACTATTTTCTAGAGGTTGCTGTACACATTCTCCTGCATTTGTGTTGCACGTTCATATTGCAAGCTGTGAGCCTGTATTGCTCTGTAGAGGAAGTAATAGAATATTTCATCAGGTGACAGAAGTATCTCAGCCTATGACTTTCTTGGTCAAAATACTAACTCTGAAAACTTCCACTTCCCCGAATCAGATTTTGACCACCAAGTGTAAATTAGAAATCATCTGCCCCTGTGTTTCTAACTAAGGGAACTGTCAGGGGACTGTTTCCGAGGCCTTACTGCAGAAGCATGAGGAAGTGAGCTTTCCAAAGTAAAACAGTGTTGTCTTTAGTTCCTGCTGTCTAAGGGTTCATGTGGCAAAGTTCATTTCTACATTAATGTATTTTTAAAAAGTCAGGAGCTCACTGGAATGCATAAACAGCTACTTTCAGGCACAGTTTATACCAGAGTTTCAGGAATCTAAACAAGCATGCTGGAAAAATTGCCGCAATTTACAGAAGAAAATAAATCATTCAGCAGAAATGAAACCACAGCTTTTCTATTCGCAACGATTCCCTTGTAAAGCAAGCCAATTACATAGCCAATGTACAAAATATTGCAAAAGGAGCTTGAAAGTCTTTTGTAATGCATTTTTGATGAAGTGCTCCATATACAAATTAAATTATATCACAATTTTCTAGTTACTTTCTGTCCTGCTTGTCACTTAGTTTTAAATCTGTGTATAATTCAAACAGACAAGCAGTTTGGTTAGATACCTCTTTTGCTGATTACCAAAGAAAGCTTTTCATGACCCTTTTTGTCTTTTTGGAGTGTCATTCCTTTTGCAATACCCTGCAGCTTCCTTGTGATAGATACTCAACTACTTCTCCCTGTCTTCATATTTTTCTCTAGAAGTGAACCCACAGTTGGTGATACATGTCTGCAGTAAAATTTCATGTTTATCAACAGACAAGGAGGGATCTTGCCTTCATAGAATCATGGCAGCTAAGATGACAGTGGAGGCATACCATCACTAGCACCAATCTGTCTTTGCTAAAGGGTGTTAAGGAGTCTTTAGTACACGTGGCGATTGTATCAAGTTCAGATATGTCTTAGGGAAAAGATGTATGATACAGTATAGTCCAAAGAAACAGACTAGTGATCAGACTCAGTCAGGATTCAAATTATCATATACATCCCAAATGATTTTAATCTAATGTGTCGCCCTTTCTGCCTCGGTCTCACATGATATTCATGTGACAAACTCCTCCTCTTTTGCATAGCCAGACTGCAGAGAATCAGACCTGAAAACATATTGGTATCTCATAAGCACTTACAAAAAGAAAAATGAGAAATAATAACACTGCCTCTCTTCCTTTCTTTAGTTCTGTAGATGTATCTGAAGCTCAGACTGTTCCTGGGTTTGTGTGTTTTGTCTCTGCTAAGGATGTTCCTGGCAGTAACATTACTGGCATCGCTAATGATGAGACTGTCTTTGCTGAGGATGTGGTATGTGGTTAAAAATAGCCTTTTTCAATCATGCTCCTCAGGAGATAGGATTTCTCATATTGTCCAGTGACATCCTCCACCTTATACAGAGATAAATCCTGACTGCACTGGAGTCAATTGAAATCTTGGTGCCAAATTCAATAAGGCCTGAGTCCCCTTGCCCCATGCCCTTCTCTGTATTATCTGCACTATTCTCCTCTAAGCTGCAGGCCACTGGGACAGACTCACTCACTTGGTTACTGTCCAAAGTTGGTTGTGATCATTGTCCCTTGACTGATTTTAAATAGATCTGTTTGAACAAACAGATGCAAAACTGCACAAAAGGAATAGATGAAGAGAATTATCATGAGCCTTTCAGTTACTGCATACATACACAGCAAATGATGATGGGTCCTAATCTTGCCTGTAGGTCACTTGTGTCGGTCATATCATTGGTGCAGTTGTTGCAGACACACAAGAACATTCCAGAAGAGCAGCTAAAGCTGTGAAGATTAAGTATGAAGAGCTCAAACCTATTGTCACAATTCAGGTAAGATGGCTCAGATCTGCTTCTGCAGTTAGCTTAGGACCCCTGAGGTCTAGTTAACTTCTGTGCTCACATGTGTGGTTATTTAGCCACATGTTTTGTTAGTCTTTGAGTGCAGCAGGATATGGATAGAATAAATAATTTAATTTAAATTTATATTTA